TCTTGATTCTATCCCTCTGGGAAATGGGTCCAAGTGGCTCTTTGAGTGTTTAAGGTTGCTGATCCCTGCCCTATACTATACCTGTACATTTGGTTTTTCTTGCCTAAATGTAGAACCTTACTTTTTTCACCATTGAAACATTTCTGAAATATCCATAGGTTTCAACTTTTTCTCCATTTTGGAACTGGCTTTCTTTTCTCCCAAAGGTGCTTTTTCACGAAGCAAATGGACTTTGTTGTTTTTTCTTTGAAGACGTATCACTTCTCATTGAAGAAGCTTCTCAGCTCTGACTGTATAGTAGAGTTGGTTTTCTTTTCTTTTTCTTCAGCATCTTTCCACAGGCATAAGACATATATCACCCGGGACGTTCATCATAAGACGCCGGAAGGGGGAGGTCTGCCCTTTCTGCTCCCCCCTCTGCTGTGAGGCAGAGTGAATAATTTGAGAAGAGTGGTTATATGTATTGAACGAAAAAAAACCCAATTAAACTCTATTTTCCCGATTGTGTCTTCCCTGCCCATGTCCCATCTTGCTCCACTTCAAGCTGGAGTTCACAACAACCGCAAGGCACACATTTTGTTTCTCAGAGAGGCTCCTGGTCCTCGTCTTCTAACTGCCCGACTGTTTCTGACAGGATTTGGCCCATATTTGAGGCCTTCGATCTCTGTGGAGCCTTCAGGGTGGGTATTCCTGAGGGAAGCGAGTTCAAATCCTCCAAAGAGATTTTTTTCCCCCATCTCCACAGACGATTCCTAGACAGGAAGGAAAAGAAAATGGAGAGGCGGCGCCGAAGCCTTTCTTGGGCAGGGAGACATTGAGAGGAGTCTTTGCTCCTACTCCAATATCCATCATCCCTATCCTTCCCCTCCCCTCAGATTTGCTCCTCTTTCCCACGCTTTGCGGGGAATCCTGTAAATTTATGCAAAATCCACCAGGGGGCGCCCTGTGCCAAGAGAAGGTAACATTAGGCGCTTCCCTATTGGACCACTGGCTTTCTAGAGGAGGCGTGACGTAACTAACGGTTGCCGCTCTAGGACTTCGCACTCGCTCTCCTTAACCTCTGGAGTTGGCTGACTTTCCGGGGGGCTGCGAGGGAAATGACATCACAAACGCTTGCCGCTCTAGGATGCCGCACTCGCTCGCCTTAACCCCTGGAGCTCCGTGGGAGGTGACGAGGCTGCGGGAAAGAGATCCACGCGTGTCTTAGGTGGGGGGGCTATTCCCGTGCAAAGGGAAGGAGGGGGAAACCCCGGCCCGGCCCTCCTCCGGGTCCGATCCCGGGTCCCATGTTCCCCAGCCGCCCTCTCCATGCAAGGGGGAAGTAGAGCTGCAGAACAGCCGCGTTGTCACCCGGAAGAACCGGGGATCCCCAGGAAGGCGGCCGGGATCTGGGGCGGGGGAGGCCCTTCCCACCCCGTGATTAAGGGTTGGCCTTGCAGATCCTCTCCAGGAGAGAAGAGAAGTTGGGCGGAGCAGAATTCGCACCAGGGACTGGAGGAGGCTCCGAGAGGAAGTCGGCCTGATCCCTTTAGGCTCAAGTGGTGTTATAGTTGTTCAAGGGCTAAATAATCCAATTTCTAATTCTTGGCATTTCCCCCTCCCAATCTCAGATGCACAAACTGGAAGGCATTCGTATCTCTTAGCAGCCAAAATATCTTGGGTGAAGAGAGCAGAGTAACCTGCTGTGGTCATCAGTCACTCTGCAGCAACAGAAATGGTCCTGTGAATGAAAAGGTGTTTGGAGATCCACAAGTATTCCTTGGATTATTTGGAGTCGCTTTACGGGACAAGGAAAAGAATGGAGACACAACCTTTAGCCCGGGAGGGAAAAGGCCCTTCTGCGGTTCAGCCCGGGAGCTGTCGGCAGAACTGGACAAGAACGGGGCAGAAGACCTTGAAGGAGGAAACCCTCATCCGTTCAGAAGTTCAGCCCTTGAACTTCAGGACCATCCTCTATAATCAGGCTGAGGGCCCCCGAGGACTTTGCAGCCGACTCCACCACTTTTGTAGGCGATGGCTGAGACCAGAAAAGCACACCAAAGCCCAGATGCTGGACCTGGTTGTTCTGGAGCAGCTCCTGGCCCTTTTGCCCCTGCAGATGGAGAGCTGGGTGCGGGAGTGTGGAGCAGAGACCAGTTCCCAGGCGGTGGCCCTGGTGGAAGGCTTCCTCCTAAGCCAGGCGGAGGAGCAGAAGCAGCAGGTCAAGTTGCAGGTAAGAGGTCTTCTCTCTGGAGCTCAGAAGGGTTTGACAGGAATGAGAATGTTTGACAGGAATGAATTCTTCACCCCTCCCTCCCAGACCACTCTGGCATTAAAAATATGTGGAGATGTTTCATTAGTTCTTATAGGACATTATCCCATTATCCATTCTAGAAAATAGATTTGGGACCGCTCATGCTTTCTTACTCAGCTTCACTGATGTATACTGGAACTCTGAAGTTGTGTTCAGACAATGAGAATCCAGTTCATGTTGGGTGATGTCTAGTTTAATGAAGAGAAGGACGAGGGGGGACATGATAGCAGTGTTTCAATATCTCAGGGGTTGCTATAAAGAAGAGGGAGTCAAGCTATTTTCCAAAGCGCCTGGAGGCAGGACAAGAAGCAACAGGTGGAAACTAATCAAGGAGAGAAGCAATCTAGAACTAAGGAGAAACTTCCTGACAGTGAGAACAATTAACCAGTGGAACAACCTGCCTCCAGAAGCGGTGAATGCTCCAACACTGGAAGTTTTTAAGAAGAGACCGGACAGCCATTTGTCCGAAATGGTATAGGGTTTCCTGCCTAAGCAGGGGGTTGGACTAGATGACCTTCAAGGTCCCTTCCAACTTTACTATTATTATTATTATTATTATTATTATTATTATTATTATTATTATTATTATTACTTGATGTCCGTTAATTCTTCTTTTCTACTTCTTCCTATTTCAAGTCCGTTGCTGTGGAGATCAGAGACCCTGGGGGAAGGAAGAATCCATCAAATCCTCCTCAGGAGCTGGTTTTCAGGAGGATTCCTCAGGATGATCCAAGTCAGAACACCTCAGGAGGTAATTGAAAGTCTTCCCTTCTCCAGAGAGATCCCAGCTATTTCATCTTCTCTGTGTATTTTATTATTCTGTTCCCTTAGTTATTTATTTTAAAATTCTGTATCCCTTACAGAGAGGAGTCGAATGAAGTTTACTCCTCTTTTTGATGGATCCGAAACCATGGTTGAACCTCCAAACAAAGTAAGTTGGGGAATTAATTAGACTTACATTCTCCCGTTTGCTCAGAAATCAAGCTGATGTACACAGCACTCTCTTCTTGTTTGGACTGGATTATTATTGTGTTCGCGAGCAGTATACAAGATTCAGCGGTGACTTTTCTAATAGGAAATCGTAATTTCAGACTAGTACTTAACTCTCCTTGCGCTAATTATTTTGCCTAATTTTCAAGAATTAATTTTTCACAAAACCCTTCAAGAAAGCCATTTCATAATTCTTTCATTTGGAATTGGGCAAGGCTGCTCAGTCATAAATAAATACACTGGCACATCACCATTTTTAAAAAGCCTTGTTTTTAACCAGTCATAAGAAACATAAGCCAATGAGATTATAAGATAAGGCAAACTATTAAAATCTAATGAAGGTAGCCAGATAGAAAAGTCTCTAAGTAAAAAATTGTCCTGAAATAGCACATAATCAAGGCCCTGGTGACTTGCAAAGTAATTTCTAACCCTCTTGATTTTTGCCTGGATCTGAAGGCCAAACCTTTTAGCTTTCCAAAAGCTGAGAAATGTCCAACCGACAAAATTTTCTCCTGTCCTCTCTTATTCATTCAAGCCCTCAGACTGGTCCTTCAGAGGACACCAAAAGCTGTTTGCTGAAATGCTAGAAAGAATATCCCCCTTTCATTTGCTTCTGCAAACACAGGAAGGATTGGAGCCCCCAAGAACTGGGGATTTCAAGACCCATCTGCAAGTTGATTCTAGCCACATGCTGAGAATCTTTAATGGTGGATGGATGGGTATACATACAGTAGATAATTAGACAGACGTACACACAGACATAGATAAGTCAATCCAAAAGGAAATGGGTTAAGTTTTGCTGAGTGACATACTCATGCGAAAGGGCTGTTCAAAAATGTGAAAAATAAATGAATGTTGGTAAAATATTTGCTATCTTTGCGTTGGGAATTTCTAAATAATAACAGAGGTCTTCCAAATCCTTCCAGGCCTGTTTTGTTCTTTTTTTCTTCCCTTGTTCAGGAGGGTCCTGTGTCCTTTGAGGAGGTAGCTGTGTATTTCTCTGAAGAGGAGTGGTCACAACTGGACACTCACCAAAAAGAGCTGCATTGGGAGGTCATGCTGGAAAATCATAGGAACGTGGTCTCTCTGGGTAAGCATTAGCTACTCCCCAATGGGTGTTTAGGAAGACATTTTTTAATTAGATAACATCAGCTATTTCTTATTAAAAATCCCCATGCAGATATCATGTCCTGGGACGGAGAAAAAAATTGCCCTTCTCCTGCTCTGAGGAGGGAAAGTGATCAGTGGCAATCTGATGCAGGGAAGGAAATTAATTTGGCTTTATATTCTTTGATCTTTTCTCTTAATCTTGCTATCACTTTCGTTTCTCTTTTCCATTGCAGGTGATAATGGGCAGGAGAATAAAGATTCCAGAGAACCATTCCAAGTAGTCAGTCCTGGAAATGCAACACAGAAACCTGCAGTTAAAATGGAACTTGAAAATCATGAGACAAACCAGTCAAATGATTGGAAACAAGACAGCTCATCTTCCACTGATGCTCCAATGCAAGATTTTCTTGCCCAAGAAGGAGAAGTAGAGAAAAAATATATTGGAAATAGTGTAAAACTATTCCAAGTCAGATTAGATGTAAATGAACACTATCCAATCCAAAGCCAAAAAGAAGCTTACATATGCGCTGACAGTTGGAAACATTACAATTCAACTTTCACTGTTACTTCTGAAATTGCGTCCCTTACATCTCATAAAATGATCCAGACAGAAGAGAAGCCTTATAAATGCTTGGAATGTGGAAAGAGCTTCAGAAGAAGCAGTCAAGTTACTTCCCATAAATGGATCCACACAGGGAAGAAGCCATATATGTGCACTCAGTGTGGAAAGACCTTTACTCAGAAGGGTAACCTTAATTCGCATAAGAGGATCCACACAGGGGAGAAGCCATATAAATGTATGGACTGTGGAAAGGGTTTCTGTGAAAATGCATCGCTTATAAAACATAAAAGGATCCACACAGGGGAGAGGCCGTATATATGCAAAGACTGTGGAAAGACATTTACTCACAGCAATCAACTTACTTGCCATAAAAGGATCCACACAGGAGAGAGGCCATATAAATGTGAGCAGTGTGGGAAGGGATTTACTAATAGCAGTCATCTTACTTCCCATAAAAGGATCCACACAGGGGAGAGGCCATATAAATGCCAAGAGTGTGGAAAGAGTTTTTGCGAAAATGGGCCTCTTACTGTTCATAAAAGGATCCACACAGGGGAGAAACCATATAAATGCACAGAATGTGGAAAGAGCTTTGGTGAAAATTCATCCCTTATGAAACATAAAAGGATCCATACAGGGGAGAAGCCATATAAATGTAGAGAGTGTGGAAAGACCTTTACTCATAGCAGTCAACTTAGTTCCCATAACTGGATCCACACAGGGGAGAAGCCGTATAAATGTGTGGAGTGTGGGAAGGGTTTTACTAACAGCAGTCATCTTAATTCGCATAAAAGAATCCACACAGGGGAAAAGCCATACAAATGTTTGGAATGTGGAAAGAGCTTCAGTCACAATGGTTCCCTTACGTCTCATAAAAGGATTCATGCAGAAGAGAAACCATATAAATCTGAAGAGCTTGGAAAGAGCTTCAGGAGTAATGACTTAATTTTGCCATAAAGAGATAAATTTGGCGGACAATCTGTGCAAATTCTAGACTTTGTTAGACAAATCTATGCCTTTCATATTTGTGTATACTAATTAGGAAAGGAGTCAGACCCTTATATTTGGCAGCTCCAGAGAGATGGAATTACCAATGAAAAACAAACAAACAATGAGCACTTGCTCTTTTGATTATAAAGAGCATCTTTTCTCTAATTTGAAGCCGGCCAATGCTACTGTATCTTAATAATGAAAATCGTTTTTTTCCCGAAGTGTATTTTCATCAGTTTTTAATTGATCTTGATTCTGTGACGGATGTGAATAGGCAGATATTTAACAGATGAGGCTGCCCAGGCAGGAGAAGATGTATCTCTACAAGACAAACTTGATTGGTCTTTCTTCCACTATAGCACAGATGGAGGTACAAATTCAACTGATCCACAGTCACTTCCCATAATTTAATTTTTCCCTCTTTTGCCTAGACTTTGCCCCTCCCTTTCTTGTGTCTTAAAAGATTCATTTCATAAGATGGCTCTAAATTCTCTTTCCACTGGAAAAAAATAGAAATAGCACAGCAGGTATTCTGAGGTCTGAAGGAATCTTATAATCGAAAGGGAACATAAGTTCCATCAATGTATGCAGAGAGATTCAATTGTTCCATTGATTGTGATATGGAATTAAAAGTGACAACTAAGAGGATTTGTGCTTTAAATTACTCATAAATTTTCCTTCCTTCCTTCCCTCCCTCCCTCCCTTTGTCTCAAGTTGGGGATAGTCAGGGGAATGAGAATGAAAACAACTCCATTATGCTGACATTGCAAATTATCAAGAAGGAAAATCTTTAGAAATCAGTGGGGGACAAAATAAAATAATATGAAATTAAGAAAAATATCTCAGAAAGTTATTTAAATCTCCTCAGATAAGCAGACAGCAATCAGAAAGGGAACTGTCTCTGGGGTGTGAAGATACCAAAAAATAATCTGACATCCATTTGTGTAGAACTGAGTCAAACAGTATCAATTAAGCAGAAGCTTTGAAACTTTTTTTTTTGTCAAAGGTCTCTGATTATGTGAGAATCATCATATACATATCACCATAGAGTCTGTGAAAAGAGCTTCAGGATGAAGAATTCCTCCCTCATAAAAGGAGCCAGAATGATGAGAAGACCCTCCAAATGCATGTGTAAAAAAACTTCCTTCAAGCCTTGGGGCCTTACTTTGTCTTTTTATGTTGTGACAAGGGCTAAGAAATGGAATGGAATGAACAGAACGGGATGGGGAAAGCAAAGAACAGGATTGGAAGGGACCCGAGAGTCTTTTAGTCCAACCTCCTGCTCACAAGACCCTATATCATTTCAGACAAATGACTGTCCAGTCTCTTCTTTAAAAATCCAGTGATAAAGCATCCACAACTTCTGAAGGCAAGCCATTCCACTGGTTAATTCAGAGGGGTCAAACTAGCAACGTCGCGTAACATGTCGTGACATATCACGACTTTTTTGCCATTGCCGGCAATGGGGTGGTTGCGATTTCACTATGATGCATCTGATCCACAGGCCAGCAGTTTGACTCCCCTGGGTGACTTGTTCTGCTAGGAAATTTCTCCTTCATTTCAGGTTGTTTCTCTCCTTGATTACCGTAGTTTCCATCTATTGTTTCTTGTCTTGCCTTCTTGTGCTTTGGAAAATAAGTTGACCCAGTGGTGGGATTCAAATATGTGAACCGGTTCTCTGTGTGGATGCTACTTCTGGAAGTCTATTCTGGGCCTGGGCAACAAAAAATTAGCTACCGGTTCTGCCGAAGTGGTGCGAACCGGCTGAATCCCACCACTGAGTTGACCCCCTTTATGGCAGCTTCTCAAATATTGGAATACTGCTATGTCATCCCTAGTCCTTCTTTTCTTTAGACTAGCCATACCCAAATCCTGCAGCCATTCTTCCTATTTTTAGTCTCCAGGCCTTTAACCATCTTAGTTGCTCATCTCTGCACTTTTTCCAAAATCTCAACATCTTACTTGTAATGTGGTGACCAAAACTGGATGCAGTATTCCAGGTGTGGTCTTACTAAGGATTTATAAAGCAGTATTAATACTTGTGATTTTGATTCTATGTCTCTCTTTACACAATCAAGGATTGTATTAGTGTTTTTGGCTGCTGCCGCACTCTGCTGGCTCATATTTAGAATATATTGAAGAGTACTGAGCCTAAAACGAAACCTTGTGGGACCCCACTGCTTACTTCCATCCATGTAAATGTAGTACCATTAAGGACCACTCATTGCGTACGGTTTGTCAGCCTGTTACAAATTCATCACAAATTCATCACAAGTTGTGGTCTACTTTCTCGAATGCCTTGCTGAAGTCTAAGTCTACTATGTAGACCATTTCACTGGTCTACTAATTTAGTCACTTTGTCAAAGAATGAAATGATTGGTTTGACATGATCTGTTTTTAACAAGCTTGTGGCTCCTTCTAGTTATAACTTTATTTGTTTCTAGATGTTTGCAGATCTGTTTTTTGATCATTTTTCCCCAGTATCTTTCCAGGTATTGATATTAGGTTGATTGATCTGTAGTTTCCTGGGTCTGTTTTTTCCCCCTTTTTTAAGATGGAAACCACATCAGCTCTTTTCCAATCCTCCAGTAGTTCCCGTGCTCCAGGATTTTTGAAAGGCATGGTACAATGGTTCTGAGATAACATCTGCCATCTACTTTAGAATCTGGGTCCCGGTGAATGGTAAGATCAGACAGTTGTTCTCTTACCATTTTCTTGCTTAATTTAATTTTTATTGCTAATCTACCTTCATGTACTAATACTTCAAGTTCACCCTGTTTGTTCCCTAAATTTTGAGTGTTAGCGTATAGGCCAGTGGTTCTCAACCTTCCTAATGCCGCGACCTTTTAATACAGTTCCTCATGTTGTGGTGACCCCCAACCCCCCATCCAGCTGGCCAGGGAGGGGGGGCAGGAAGGCTGTTCCGCCGGCTCCACCCAGCCTGGTTGGAGAAGTGCCCAGGCGGGGAGAGGGAGAGAGAGAGAGACAAGAAGGTGACAGCGCCGGCAGAGCTTACTTCAGCCTCCTCCGCGGAAAGGGCCGCGAAGCAGCGCAGCCTCCCTTAGGACAGGGGTAGGCAACCCAAAACACTCAAAGAGCCACTTGGACACGTTTCCCACCGAAAACAAAACACTGGGAGCCGCAAAACCCTTTTGATATCTAAAATGAAGATAACACTGCATATATCCTTTTTTTACCTTTAATGTATGTATGTATGTATGTATCTGTGTTTGTGTGTGTATATTTAAAATAAAGGTAAACGAGGATATATGCAATGTTATCTTCATTTTAGATGTGAAAACGGTCTCTCTCTGTCTCTCTCTTTCCTTTCTCTTTCCTCTCTCCCCTCCCACTTTCCTCTCTTTTTTCTCTTTTTTCTCTTTCCTCTCCCTCTCTCTCTCCTCTTTTTCTCTTTCTTCTCTTTCTTTCTCTTTCCTCTTTCTCTCTCTCTCTTTCTGTTTCCTCCCTCTTTCTCTTTCTCTCTTTCTCTCTCTCTTTTCTCTCTTTTCCTGTTTCTTTCTTTCCTCTCTCTCTTTCTCTCTCTCTCTTACGGCTGCATCGTTGGGGGTCCCCGCCGCCCCCGGCCTGGCCGCCGCCCCCGCCAGGACTCTACACTGCCCAGCCTTGCCCTCCACCAATCGATGGAGCCGGGGTGGGGACAGTGCCCGCCCAAGCTGCCTGGGGGGCAGCAGGAGGAAGGAGAGGAGGAGGGCGAGGAAGCAGCCGCCCCATACAGGACTCTGCGCTGCCTGGCCTCACCCTCTGCCCATCGATGGAGCCGCGGCGGGGGCTGGTGCCACACGGCCCCTGCCAGCCCCTCTGCCAGCCCAGCTGCTCCCCCCCAGGCACCCCTCTTGTCCCGGCGCACGCCCGAGCCACCCGGGGGGCACCAGGAGGAAGAAGGAGAGGAGGGCGAGGAAACCACCACCGCCGCCCCAGCCAGGACTCCATGCTGCCTGGCCTCACCCTCCACCCATCCAATGGAGCCGTGGTGGGGGCTGGTGCCACGGAACCCCTGCCAGCCCCTCTGCCAGCCTGGCTGCTCCCCCCCAGGCACACCTCTTGTCCCCGCGCCCGCCCAAGCCGCCTGGGGGGCAGCAGGAGGAAGAAGGAGAGGAGGAAGAGGGCAAGGAGATAGAGGAGCGATGTCTTGGTTCCTAAGACCATCCGAAATATGTGTTTTCCGATGGTCTTAGGCAACCCGTGAAAGGGTTGTTCGACCCCCAAAGGGGTCCCGACCCACAGGTTGAGAACCACTGTATTAACACTTCACGTGATCTTGATTCTATCCCTCTGTTAATGCAGCCTAGCACTGTATTGGCCTTTTTGGCAGCTGTAGCACACTGCTGGCTCATATTTAGGTGATTGTCCACTAGGACTCCGAGGTCCCTCTCACAGTTACTACTATTGAGCAAGGTGCCACCTATGCTGTACTTGTGCATTTGGTTTTTCTTGCCTAAATGTAGAACCTTGCTTTTTTCACCATTGAATTTCATTTTGTTAGATAATGCCCAGTGTTCAAGTCTGTCCAGATCCTTCTATATCTTAAGCCTGTCTTCTGGAGTGTTGGCTATTCCTGTCAGCTTGGTGTCGTCAGCAAATTTAATGAGTTCCCCATATATCCCCTCATCCAAATCGTTGATGAAGATGTTGCACTGGGCCCAGAACAGAGCCCTGGGGCACCCCACTACACACTTTCCTCCATGTAGATGTGGTTCCATTGAGGACCACTCACTGAGTACGGCCGGTCAGCCAGCTACGGATCCATCTGGTGGTGATGCTGTCTACCCCACATTTTTCTATCTTGTCAAGTAGTAGGTTGTGATGTACTTTATCAAATGCCTTACTGAAATCCAAGTAAATTATGTCCACAGCATTCCTCTCATCCACTAATTTTGTCACTTGGTCAAAGAATGCAATAAGATTTGTCTGGCATGAT